GCAGCGTCTACTACGTTTGCTGTTCGGCCGCGCCACGTAATCTGGGTGTCTGTTGACTATTAGCGATACCCTCTCGTCCGATCTGTGCTGCTTACGGGACGAAGCTGCTTCCTCTTCCTTCAGGGCTGCTGAATCGAGCTTCTCCACGGCCTTGACCAGCTCTGCGTCGTCCTTTGGGAAGTACTTGGTCGCAACAGTCGGGACACCCACTGTACGCGGGATGCGACTCTGATAGGCAGCATAGCGGATGCTGGGGTCGGTAGTGCCTGCCAACACATCTTTGAACAGGTCCTTCCTCGTAGCCTTCAGCAGAGCGCTGTAGATGACTCGCGCCGCAGAGTACTTGGTGAGACACGGGGCCCAGCGCTGGGGCGTCGCGTTCTTGCTCTTGATGCCCTCGGCTTGCTTCTCAAACTCATGCGCTCCAGCCAGAGTGTAGGCATATGCCTTTGCTTCGAGCACATCCGTCTCCGATGCTCCGCTTGCGCTCGTGTTGGAGATGAGTTCAATAACCTGGTTCGCGTATTGTGTAGCCTTGTGTAGGCGCGAGAGGATGTGTTTACGCGTAGAGCCGGTGATGTTCTTGTCGGCGTTCTCGTCGGAGTGAGAGGCTTTCATAGCCATGGCCTGCGCCCATGCCCGTTCCGAGTTGAGCAGGAGCAGGTGAAGAGCCCTGTCACAGTCAGCTTCCGAGATCCATCTTCTACACGTGACTCGTACTCATTGTTGTTCTTGATATCCTCCGCCGTGACCGGGGCCTTTGCAGCATATTTCGCGTTCTTGGGTGTTGCCCGCCCGAGTTTCTTGTTCACAATGCGGAGACGTCGCGACAATTGCTCATGGTAGGTATTGTAATCGCCGATGAGGAACGCCGACTCCCGGTAGTCGGTCACGAACTTGGTGATATCCATGGCCGGGCAGCTGGTGTTAAGTGCAACTGTGGGGATGCGGCTGATGTGGAGGGGCATCAATTGGCGAGCTATCCATGGCCCTGCCAAGCGAATCGGAACCTCAGGTCATTGTCGCGCCGTAAACTTTTCGAGACATCATAGACATCGGGCCCGCCATTGCCACGCGCGCTACTCGTTCTTTCCCTTGTGTCTTTTGCTCTAGTCTCCTTCTTCTGAGTCAGCACTCTGTACATTGTTTTCCTCCTCCACCGTTTTTCCTGTAGTCCCCATCGCATAGCTAGAGGCATGCACAAGTGTGGGCAAACCCCATTACCCAGTCCTCTTGCCACCATATCTAATAGTTGCAGTTTATAGAACTCCTCACAGCCTCTGGTAATCTGCGCCTGCCCCATCTGCGCTTCCTACAGTCCAGGTGATGCTCGAGCGTGCTTCGACATGCCTCGAATCCGGCGGACGCCAGCTCTTCCGCGCTCCGAAGCCATGTCTACGCAGTCGGCGCACGTTGCACCCAACTCCTCGGCACCACGGTGCAAGCGATCTCACTCTCTCGCCTTGGCAGGTCGCATCCCCGACTATCGAAGAAACAGGTGGTGATGGTGGCAACGGAGCGGCGAACAAGGCCAACACAGACCAGAAAACCCACGAGGGTGTAATGCTCGACTTTCTGTACCCGGAAAAGACCCTGGCGCTTCTTGGAAGACTATCCGTAAACCCGCTCAGTTCAATGGAACAGAGGCGACAGCAGCCGTATGCGATTCGAGCCCGCCGTTTTTCGACAATACAGGCGCAACCTGTGCAAGATGAAACACAAATGGATGTGGATAGGGTAGAACAGGCCAAAAAGGATGCGGCAGAGCTATTACAAGGGTCGGATGCAATCACGGCATTGCAGAAGTACCTAGATTCGCCGTCACCTGAGGAGCAAGAGTTGGCCTGGCAGTTGTATACTAGCATCCCCGAGGATCGCTTGGCGGAAGTAGAGACACTGCAAGTACAGCTCCTGGACTATCTTGTCCAGGACGGTGAGCCTATAGTACCGGAGCGAGTCCTTCAGGTATTTGACGCGCTTCGCCCCGTCGCTCGACGGCTATCATCACATCGAGCAGCTATCAAAGCCTACGTTGCATTGGGGATGATAGGGCCGGCAGTTCGACTTTATGACAAGCTCGCCAAGCCCATTGCATCAGGAGGTCCCAGTCAGGTTCTACTGCATAGTGGCATAGATGCAATCCTTCGACGAGCCGTTCTCGACGAGCAGTGGGATCTCGCGTTTCGTGTCTTCAGAGAGTTCCATCGGAAAGCGCATTCCATTCGTGGTACTCCCACATACCACGCGATTCGCACCGGCAATACACTCCCAGAGTTGTGGGGTCAGGCTGCAACATTACCAGAACTTCTGGAACATTTCGAGTCTTTCTTGCGATACGTCAGGGAGTTTCAACACGAACTCACATCTACGCCATCCCGAGAGCGTGATTTGGCCTGCTTTGTCATGTCCTTCGTACCTCACGTAATGGATCGCGTCTTGCTTACGGAAAAATTCGACGATGATTTTGTTTGGGATTACTTCATCGGGCTCTTTGACAGTCTCCACTCTCTAAATCTCCCCACTTCAACTCTCTACGAGCACGCGATTCGAAAGATGTTGAACCTTCCAAAATACCGAGAATACACCAACCAGCGAAAGATTCCGCTCGAGCTATATAGAAGATACCGGCAACTTTATCTCTATGGGGACAAAAGCACTTCCGAAGGGCCACCATCACGGGTCTTGATCAGGTCTATGATCTATCAGCATTCTTCGAAAGGCGGCCTGGGACGTGTTCAGGATCATCTACACGATTTACGCACCTGGTACCCAACTAAGCCGCTACGGTCTGGTCTTCTCAAGTACCTGATTCGTACGTATGCCAGGGTTGGTAATGTGGAGAAGGTGGACGAATACGTCAATGAGCTTCGATTACATCACCCAGGCGAAGTGACAATCAGCGTACTCTCATCACTTCCGTATGTGTATGCACGACGCGCGGATGTCGATGGCACCATCACCCAGTTCAAACGCATACACGAAGAGTTTCAGATGACCCCGGATACTGCTTGTTGGAATATTTTACTGCTTGCCTACGTCCGTTCCGAGGACCTCGATGGTGCTCTGGAATGCTTCAACAATTGCTTGGACTATGGCGTTGCACCAGACGTGAAAACCTTCGGGCCTCTGCTCGACTTCTGTGCCCATAGAGGTGATGTTGAGGCTTTCGAGACACTCTTCTCCAAAGCCAAACAGATGGGCATACAACTTGACACAGATGTTCGTGCAAGGGCGGGCTATGTCGAAGCATTTCTAAATGCGGGTGATCCAGAAGGCGCCGAAGCGATCGCATATGGCATGCTCAACAGTTACAAGGCAGGGACACTCCACGGATACCCTCTCTCACACACATGGAACTTGTTGATCCAACGGCGCGCCATGGACCGCGACCTAGCGGGTAGCAGGCAGCAATACAAGCTAATGGTCGATAACAACATCCCGCTGGATAGCTGGACTTTTGGCAGTCTGATGCGAGCATTAGTCGAAGTAAAGCAGACCAACGCTGCTTACAAACTGCTGAGAGTCACAATGCCGGAACAAGGATACCGGGTCCATGCACTTCACTATGCCATAGTGATGACCGGTTTCTTGAGGGAGGGGCAGTATCAACTAGCTGTGGAAGCTCACGAAAGGATGAAGGCGCGCCAGGTTCCTCAAACCGAGAGCTCCCGCCAAGCCTCACTACAAGCGCTTGGTATGGCTGATTCTCGGCAGCTAAAGAGGAGAGGAGCCAAACATCCAAACTACAAGCTTCTTCGGGTCGAAGAGGCTCTTGAAGAGATGCTCGTCTCCAGTACAGCGCAAGAGATTGCGCACCGACAACCTGTACATGAACGATTTGACGATGTGGACAGCTTCGATGACCTTCGAGCGTCTTACTATGGCCTGATGATCTCGCTCTATAGCGCCAGATCAGCGTATAAACTCTGCAAGAAGCTTTTCCAAAAGGTCGAAGCGATGGCAGCAGAGTCCGGCAGCTACGCTATACCACTGACTCTCGTCACGTCAATGATGGAAGCGCATCTCAAGGCAAACAACCACGCCGAAGTCGCAAACTTCTGGGAACTCGCACGCACCTCCGCCGCAAAACTCACCAAAACCTTCCACCAAGCCGTGAACCAGAGCGCCCCCGTCCCAGACGACACCTCCATCACCGACCCTTTGATCCTCCAACGCTTCCAAGAAGCGCACATCTCCGACAACCGGCGCCAAATCCTCGCCAAGCCCGCTCGCATCTACATCCGCAGTCTCCTCGCGCAATCCGACGCCGACAACCCCACCGCCGCACAAGACGCCCAACGCACCATCCGCGACCTCCTCGTCAACGGCTTCACAGTCGACAACCTCACCTGGAACGAACTCATCCAGCAACTCATCCACCGCAACCACATCATCGACGCCTTTTCCATCTGCGAAGAGTACCTCATGCCCCGTTTCCCGGGTTGGCGCGAACTCATCCCCAACTTCATCCGCAACGACCGCAAAGGCTTCCAGTGGATGGAGCTGCGTCCGAATGATCTCAATAAAGCTAGTGTGCTGCCGCGGTACAAGACTATTATCTTGTTGGCGAAGGCTTTTGGCCAGGTTAAGAGCGATGAGAGGAATGGGGTTGGGTATGATGAGGAGGCTGGGGCTTGGTTAGCGGAAATCATTGAGAATAAGGCGCCGTTGACTATGAGGGCTATTGATTCCATGCCTAGGACTTTCGATAAGTTGCAGCAGCGCCATTTTGGTGTTTTGTAGAGGCAGCAATCTGTATATATGTAGGTTATGTAGTAAATTACGATCTGAACGCGTTGTATGTACAAAGGATTTGGCTGATGTGAAATCTGATGATGATGGTCTTCCCACTGTGGTCAAGAACGCGCGAAGACGGAAGTAATCACCTCGGCATTTTCGGTGCAATGATGCAGCGAGAAAACTACGTAGCCCGAGTGTAGGAACACGTGTGTGCCCATACAACAATATTCAGAGCAACCCCATATCTTTCCAAAGCAACGATGTCTTCTTCAAACCCTCTCAATGCAGACTACGCATGGCCGCTGTATGACGATGAGCCTATCGAAGGAGCCTTCGTACTCGACACCGCAAACGGCATCGACAAGGCCGTAGTAACAAGCGTCACACGTCCCTGGCTCTTCGGCTTTAAGAACACCACGCGTACATCAAACGGACGGAATGTCCTTATTTTAGGCGGAGGAGGATACGTCGAGCTCATGGTGGGAAGAGAAGGTGTGCAGGTAGCGAGGTGGCTAGCAGGGCTAGGATTTCACGCCTTCGTGCTCATACATCGTTTTCCGAATAAAGAGACGGGCAGTCAAGCGCCAGTAGACGACGCCAGGCGGGCTCTCAAGATGTTTGACGAGAAGGGCTTTGATGAAGGCTGTAGGGGTGTATGCGGTCTCTCATCTGGTGGTCATCTCGCTGCATCGCTATTTTCGACGTATCCCACTTCTTGGAGTAATCCAGATGCGGAAGGTGGCGTTCCATACCTCGATTTCGCTATCATTGGTTATGCGCCTATTTCCACGAATGCAAAAGGACGCCAGATTATTGCAAACAAGCCAGCGCTGGAGCCGCTGGAGAAACAGGCGCTTTACAATACGGTGCAGCCAGACGTACAGTTGGAGAGCAGAGGTCCGGGATCCCTTCCACCAACCTTCATAGTCTATGCTGGAAATGATCCGGTTGTGCCGGTGGTGAACGCATATAGGCTGGCTGAAGGCCTTATGAAAGCTGGTGTCCCTGTAGAGCTTCACGTCTTCTCGGATGCGCCGCACGGGTTCGCATTGGACACGCTGCGGAAGCCGGTGAGCGATTGGCCGAGCATTTGTGAGAAGTGGATGGACCAGAATGGCTTCATGGGATATGCGCGAGGTACTGCGTTGTACAGTCGTCTACACAGCTGAGAACGCAACGTAGCCATGTCGCAAATGAACAGTTCCTGGCAGCTCTCGCATACTTAGGTACCTCCGGTGAGACCAGGCTGATCTGTGATGTGCCTGCTTCAAATGACAGCCGGATGCGGATCAGGCTGAAACGGATGAGTCGGCAAGGAAGCAGCAAGAGAGGTCAGTGAGTTCAAGCAACATCCGTCACATATAGTATGGAGTCGATGGTTGCGGTACTCGCGTGCATGACCAAATGTCAAATGGCGTATGATGTGGCTGTGAGGCGTGTGGCGAGTAAAAATGTTAAGGTGGCGGGAGGTTTACAGGTCTGGGCAGGAACCGACGCCTAGCGCAGAAGCCGGGCAGGGTGACGTACCCACCTTTCGGTCGCGCCTGCCCGCGCCTAGAGGCAGCATCCCTCGCGCCTCGACTCCCGCCATGAGCCAACACGCAATATTGCTCCTCGATACTTCAGACGACCGCCGGAATAATGGTGCGCACAACAGAAAGACGACACCATGGGAACCCGAACTGACCATCGCAGGCGTCGCTTTTGCGGCAACTCGTAGCCGGCCCTCGCGCCAGGCATGCTGAAGCTGGCCTCGACCTGTGCTATGTGACCGACAACAGTACAGTCGCCCCAAGAAGAATCACATGGTTTGCCCTCTGACAGCGTCTAGTAATCGCTACTTCGGGCCCTAGCGGCACCTACCCGCAGCGCGCCTATCGCAACCCGCTTGACTCGCTCGTAAAGTTTCTCGACTCGAAACATGGCGACGATTGGGCCATATGGGAGTTCCGCGCTGAAGGGACGGGCTACCCCGACTCGGAGGTCTATGATCGCGTCTACCATTATCCCTTCCCCGATCACCACCCGCCGCCTTTCGCCCTGATACCGAACATCATGGCCAGCATGCGCAACTGGCTCCATGAGAAGGAGGGGCGGGTCGTCGTCGTACATTGCAAGGCCGGGAAAGGGCGATCGGGAACTGCTAGTTGCAGTTACCTCATCAGCGAGGAAGGCTGGCCGGTGCACAAGGCTCTGGACCGCTTCACCGAGCGGCGCATGCGTCCCAACATGGGCAAAGGCGTCAGCATCCCTAGCCAGCTCCGATGGATAGACTACGTGGATCGCTGGGCCAAGCACGGCAAGCTGTATGTCGAGCGGCAGGTCGAAATACTTGAAGTGCACTGCTGGGGCCTCAGAGACGGTGTCAAGATCCAGATCGAGGGCTTCGTCGAGGATGGCAAGCTCATCAAGAACTTCCACACCTTCACGCGCGACGAGAGGGAGATTGTGCGGGGCGAAGTCAAGACTACCGGCATGGCACAGGCAGTGCAGGAGGTCATGTACAAGAACGGTTTCGGCCCATCCAAGACGAGCGAAGGTCCCAAGAATGGCTCGACTTCCTCCCTCGAGCAGCAGCAGCAGAGCAATGTCGATGGCGCTACCACGGCCGAGCCAAGAGCGTCGCGCGAGAGCCTACCCACAGGCACAGGCGACGTCGTCTTCCGTCCCGCCAAGCGCGTAGTTCTGCCTACCAACGACATCAACATTGACGTCGAGCGTCGTAACAAAGCCGCCTTCGATCTTACTATGGTCACGGCTGTCGCGCACGTGTGGTTCAACACATACTTCGAAGGGAACGGCCCTGAGCAGAATGGCAATGTCGACCAGTCGGGCATGTTTGAGATTGCATGGGAAGCCATGGACGGCATCAAAGGCTCATCTCGAAAAGGCACACAAGCTTTCGAGCGCATAGCCGTAGTCTGGCGCGCACTGTTCAGCGAAGAGGGCCGACCTGGTGTTGTCATTACAGAACCAAAGGAGGGTGAGCCTGTACAACAAGCTGAGCCCGCAGATTGGAGGGGTACCAAGGGCGTGGAGCCGTCCGAAGACAAAGATCTAGGTGTCCGCACAGCGAGCCCACCCAACGAGAAGTCCGACATCAGCCGAGCGAACAGCGTCCGGAGCGAGAACAAGAAGGGTACCACCATCGTCGAAGCTCCCGGCCGGAGGGACAGCGGGGATAGTGACACCAAGCATGTCCGACCACATGGCCCGAATGGGGAGAAAGTCCTAATGGAGCCGAACAGTTCTGCTTCTCGAACAAGCACAGACGCGACAACGAGTGGGCCGACAACGGCAATCTCAGACCCCACGCAACCAGATCGTCCTGACAATTCTAGTCATGTTGCAAGCCACTCGCGATCCGCAGACCAGCCTACTGGGTCACACCAGAGCGGGGGCCACATTGGCGGAATTGCAGAGAGCTTGAAGTATCACGTCTCAGGAGCAGCTCACACCAACGATCTACCTGATGGAAAGCCTGAGAGTGAGATGAAGGACGCAAAGGAGCATGGCCTTGGGCACATGCATTTTGGCAAGAAAAAGACAAGTTCGTAGGTGCCTATACCCTTACGCGACGGCAAAACTCGTGCATCACGTCGTTGTCTTCGGTAATGCGGGGCGTTATTTGGAGCTGCATGACAGAACCGGAAGCTTGCGGTTGGCGTCTGGTCAGCGTATCACATGTGCGCACGAATCGTGCTTTGCGCGTGTTGCATGGCGCTGTATGCATTGATGAGGCGTTGTACAGCGCGCTTCTTTCGTTATGAGAGAGTGTTTTGGGTTTGTAGATTGAGGTTCATTTCGCTGTTTCTCAGATCCACCACTTGCTTTCGACCTACTAGGGAACAACAAATACTTCTGATTAGAAATTCGTCGACACCAAGGACCCTAATGTATGCGCGACTGTATATTCGTGCAGCATGGGAGAAGTGAGGCGAGCTGTCCACGGGTGCTCGGTAATGCGCTCGATACCTAGCCGACGCAGCTGCTGCATTCCTTCCTGGTGAGGCAGGGCCACTCAGCGCGACACACGAACGACCATCACTGCAGCTCAGCAGCAGCCGATGGGAACACAACGTCGACAGATGAGCCACTCTAGTAATATGCATGTGTATAGAGAGCACGGTGCGTCTTTGCGTTACCGGAAACGCAGGGAAGTGTGATGTAGAGACAGCCGCAGCGCCACCGAACCAGTCCGCAGCTATAAGAGCGTCACGCAGTCGACAGCCGAGTTCTGTGATCCGTATATATGCCCTCGAGAAAAATAGGTGCAGATAAACCATGAAAGATTGATTGGGGCCGGCGAAAGCGAGCGCGTCCACACTCCTGCAAGGCTGAAGGCATTGTCAGACGAGGCTGAGCTACGCTCTGCCTTGACATTGGTTACCTCCTCACCGGTCATCGCGACATCGCTATTTGTTCAGCCTGTACATGCAGAGTAGCCTGCTCAGGCCAATACATCGACGAAACGTTGCTCCTACAGGAAGGTCGTGGCTAGGCAGCAGATTCGGCTGAAAGAGTTCATTAGGTATGTGCGGCCTCCACTCCACCACCACCCTGTACTGATATTGTGATAAGACGATCTAGTCGAGCACGCTGGCTCCCAACAAGTTCAGCCTTGTCGGATTTCGCTATTCAGAGCTCGCCATTTGCCAGATCCCGGATTAGGTACTGCGGGGTAATCGAGAACGGTAATACAAGACTGCAGCCTAGTAGTGTGTTGTGTGGGCGAGAGATCTGATTAGAGAAGGGTGTGGGTCGGGAAAAGAGACAGAGTGAGGTTAGGCTTCACTTTGCGGCTCTGTCTGTGGATAAAAGGGTGAGACCTAGGTCCTCCTCTTGTCTCAGCCTTGAGACTGTCTCATCTGCAATTACTTCATCTCTTGAACGAGCCGGATCCCAAGTTTACGTGTTACGAATTCTTCCAGGCACCTATCTCTGGACCCATATTCAACAGTCAAGCAATAGCAGAGAGCGAGCCTCGCATCTCGGCAAGTCTACGACCCATGAACGGACCGGACAGTTCGAAGACTTCTTCCACCAAACCTTCCTTACCTGCCAAAGCTAGCAAAAAGCTCTCCGACACCTCATCATCGTCACCTGTTATTGTTGCAACTCCGTCCGTGAAGTCCGACCCGGGCGACATCTCGCTGCACGAGCCAAAGATGGATTCTTCCCAAGAGACTGTCGAAGCTCATGTGGCTGATACGGCTCAGAATGGCGATGAGAAGCAGGCAGCTGTTTCTATCGAGCATACTGAGGTACCGAAGTCTGAGCTGGTCGTTGCGAAGAAGAAGAGTGTAAGCAGGCGAGGGAAACACGCATCAAAGAAGTCAAGGCGTAAAGCAGAAGAGACGTCTACATCAGACGATAGTGGCTCTGAGAGCGACAGTGAGTCGGAAGAGAGTAGTGAGGACGAGAAGGCCAAGCGTAAGAAGAGGCGGAAGTTGGCCGCGAAACGAGCAGCAGCGAAGAAGAAGCAGCGGGCGAAGGCGAAGAGCAAGAAGAGCAAGATTAGGAAGCACGATTCAACAAGCGAGGATGAGAGTTTGTCTGGTACCTCCGACTCAAGCTCGGACTCAGATTCAGAGGCAGACGACAAGAAGAGCCGCCGGAAGGCCTTGCGAGCCAAGGCAAAAAAGAAGAAGAACAAGAAACTAGAGAGCTCTAGCGACGACAGTACCTCTGACACTTTGAGCTCATCCGATAGCGAGTCAGATTCTGAGGACGAAAAATCTAAACGTAAACGCGCAAAGGCGAAAGCAAAGCGGAAGGCAAAGAAAGCAAAGAAGGCCGAATTATCTGAATTTTCGTCAATGACATCGTCCTCCGAGGACGATCTCCCTGTGCCGACCCCGCCGCCAGAGCCTCCGTTGCCAGGAGATACCCTTGACACACAAGTGACCAAAGTAAGTGGTCTGCTTAACAGTCTCAAGGCGCAACAAGCTTCTCTCAACGCTGCTGCTGCCGCTGCCGCCGTATCTACTACGAAGCTTGACAAGCCAGTCAAGAAGAACGCGCTCGAGTTCAAGCGCGTCGACCAGGTTTTCGACATGAAGATACGCGATTGGAAACTCGTTGAGAGTAACGCCGACCAAAAAGATGAGTTTGACTGCGTGTTCACCGTGCGTAGGAGACTCAACTGGGAAGGCAAGTATCAAGAGACACAACTGGATATCAAATCCAAATTACTCCGCAACGCACTTCAAGAGGTTTTCAAGGACTGCAAGAGCATCAGCCTGGTGGAAGACATCCCGCAGATTGACCCTCACACGCTGTTCCACTACTACGACGAGTTGAAGACCTACGTCAAGAAGACGCTGAAGCCAAAGCTGAAGAAGGCAAAGAAGTCGAAAGAGCAGAAGCGCGTCAAACAGCAGATTGCATCATGCAAACTGCTTCTGAGTTACATTGACGAGGACTACACTGCGACGCGCAAGGCTCTCCGGCCCATGCTCAAAGCGGGTACGATCACGTACGACCTCGTTTGGGCATTGTTCAAGCCGAACACGATCGCCTTCACTCCCACGTATCACAACAAGGATGACCCGCGCTGCTTCAAGGTCGAAACCGCGTATGAGTATGAGAGCTGGATGACAGGAGTCAAGTCCTGGTATGTAGATGGCAAGTATCTTGAGTATGACGGCAAGTCATTCGGCCTGGGAGACCATCAGATCACAATCCAGGCTTTCAAGGGCCACAAGAAGATTACTAGTCTCTCAGCTTATCCATTGAAGTACCACAAGGATCCTGAGGTGAGTTGTTGACCGGTTGATCGAGCGTGCATTAGCTAACGAGCTTGCAGAGCATCAAGAAACAACTCGTCGACCGAGGCAAGAAGTTCGTCGCTCTCCAAGGCATGAACTACCGCCTCCAGAAGGGTATCGCGTACATGAAGCACAAGAACAACATCATCCGCTTCATCATCAACGGCCGCGTCATGGTCGATCCCGCCATCTTCCGCCGCATCAATCCCAACTATCCGCTCTCGTACCTCAAGCAAGACGAGCTTGCACAGAACGAGGAAAACGATGATGACGATGACGATAGTGACGATTGCTGCTGTGGTTCTGACGAGAACGAAGAAGACGAGGAGAAAGACAAGATGCGCATCGTCATGTGGAAGGACAAGAAGGGCAAGAAACACCCCATCCGCGTGCCACAAAGCGTAATCGACAAGGAAAAGGGCGACAGCCCCGACAAGCAAGTCGAGACCGACGAAGACGGCTCAGAAAACAAGCAGCAATGCTTCACCGAAGAAGAGCTCCTCATCGCCTCTCCAGTCGTCCTCGGTTTCGCCTTCTCGGAGAAACTCTGGCTCGAATTCTCGCTCGCCGGCATCGACGACATCAAATGGAACGACGAAGCCTTCTCCAGCCTCGTCCTGCCCAGCCGCATCAAGCAGAACCTCAAAGGCCTCGTCTCTTCCCACCGCTTCAACGCCGCAAAGACCATCGACGATGTCATCCAAGGCAAAGGCAAAGGCCTCAACGTCGTTCTCCACGGGCCACCCGGTGTGGGTAAGACGCTAACCGGCGAATCCATCGCTGAGTACCTCAAATGCCCACTGTACGCCGTCTCGGCAGGCGAACTAGGCACCAACAGCCGCTCACTCGAAACCGATCTAAACCGCATAATGGATATCACGCACTCTTGGGGCGCTATCCTCCTCCTCGACGAAGCAGACGTGTTTCTCGAAGCGCGCCAACCCCACGACATTCATCGTAATAGTCTTGTATCTGTCTTCTTGCGTCTAACAGAGTACTACCAAGGCATCCTCTTCCTCACAACAAACCGTGTAGAGACATTCGATGAAGCGTTTCAGAGCAGGATCCACATGGGTATCCGATACGACAACCTGGAAGCCAAGGCGAGGAAGAAGATCTGGCAGCACCATATTGGTAAGGTGGAGCAGATGGGTCGGGACGCCGAGGCCGAGAAGAAGAAGGGTAAAGATAAAGATAGTGATGAGGAGGGTACTGCGACAGGTGCGAAAGAAGAGAAAGGAGGGAAGGTGATGAAGCCGTTTACCGAGGTGGACTTTGATGAGTTGAGTAAGAGGAGTATGAATGGGAGACAGGTATGTTTTGTTGTTGTTGCGGTGGTGTGCGTGCATGTCGGCTAACAACTTGTGCAGATTAAGAATACGGTCAAGACGTCGCAGTCGATTGCGCTTGCGGAGAAGTCGGTGTTTAGTATGGAGCACGTTAAGCGTGTGCTTGAGGTTGCAGAGGCTTTCGAGGATGATATGCGCGGTGGTGGGGGTTACCGTGATGCGAAGAGGATGTATACCTAAGGCGGGTCTCTTTCACCGGACGGACTGAGGTTGCCTTTTTGTGATATCTTTCGCTTTCGATTGGATGTGATGGATGCTGGTAGGTCGTTGAGCGGCTTGCTTCTTTTGTTTATACGTCTCCTCTCAAGTATAATATTGCAACGTCGATTAATTCTTCGAGGTCCATGACAGGTCTGCACGCTTCGTTCGCGGTTGCCTCTGATACGCGTGGCTCCTTCCAAAGTGACAGTAGATGTGGGAAGGCGCAGACGTGGCTTAC